GGCACTATCCTTCTGCGGGCCAGGCCTGCAAAAACTCATGAATCAGCAAATCGCACTGCTTGCACTGCTGCACTCCTGGCATTGATTCTAGCACTGGACAGCTATGCAACATACTTTTGCAAAACAGGTGCGCGCCCCGCGGCCCTTTGTCCAAGTGAGACGCGCAGGCATTAACGCAGATTGCAAAACAAGCTGCCAAGGCTTGGCCGGAAGCGCACCAATGCACTGCCTGTTAACAACCTTGATGACACGCAAGTGCAAGCCGATCAGTCATCCGCATCCATTCTGACCATAGCATCCTGCCACCCCGAATGGCCTGCCATCCTACCTGTTCACCTCAAGCCTCATACTCCAGGATTCCTGAAAGAAGTCTCCAAACATCACTTGCAAGTGAGAAGGGCTGCTCTAAATCAACTATTTAATCATAATAAGTCGACTAGCTCCTGCTGCATATATGGACATTCCCGAGGTTCTCATGGAAGCATGGCATTCCACAAGTCACCCAAAAGCTGGGCCCAGTTCCATTGATGGGAGACCGGTTCTCGAGAACCCCAGTTCAAGAAAGGCCAAGCCTCCTCGCTGAGGAACTCTGCTGGAAGATGTGCCAACGCCAGCCATGGCCACAAAGAGGTGTCGGGATCCTCTCCTCCCAAAGTGCGAATCATGTTTTTCAACACCCGAATTTCCGGCTCAGTGGTGGTCGCATTCTTGTCACACACTACCTCTGAATGGAGGATACGCCTTTGTGGCACGTGTAATCATTTCCACAAGAAGGGCTGAGCCAAACAAAGCGTGGCTGAAACAGGCTGTTTCGAACAAACAAACCCATGGACTTACCTTTGGCAAGTCGAAAAACAATGATTGGCAAGTCGAAAAAACAATGAGCTGCCTAACTGAGGCCGCTCCTTCAGCGAAGTCCTGGTGACGCCGCGCGACCACCTCGGAATGCGAGGCTGGTGTGCTCACAAAGCCATGGATTTGCTCTGGTATTCTGGTATGTGAGCTCTCTCGCTTGAATATCCCTGGGACCTGAAAAGACCAAGGTACGTTAAAAGTAGGCGCACACCCATTTAGGCAGTGCGCTGAAGGTTTGGCTTTCCCTGCCTGGTGTGGCAGGCTTGCAGTTTGGAAACGTCACCAGAAAGGGTCTCCAGATTTACTTCGAGCAGTGCAACAGGCCTTTATCCTTGCCAACGGCGTTGCTGCGCAAAACGAGACCAATCCTAAGCCGCGAGAACCCACCCTAAACCAGCCTATTCTACCTTCAACAAGCCCCGAAACCCCTCGTAATTCTGCCCTAACCTACCCCTCAACAAGGCACCGGGGATATTAATAGACCGCACGTACAAGGCTCCACGCATGAAATCTCTAGGTTATGAATTGCCTGCTTCAATGCTATGTCGGTTTCGACTGAGCAACCCTGCAAGGGGTCTTAATTAATTACGCAGACTTCACTCACGGCTTTACGCTCAGCACATATGAAGCGGAGACAACAGCCGGAGACAGAGATCGCTCCGTGCAAGCGACTGTTCGAACCAAAGGGCGGAGCTCGCAGGGAACTGCACTGGGCGAACGCGGAGCACAGCGTGCGAGACAGCGCGACCATTGCATTGCATGTCACCGGGATTTGCTCCGCGCTCAAGGTCTTAAAGGCCAGCCCGGGCTTGGTCTCTGTCGGTCTCAATCTGGAGACGTAGAACAGGTCAAATGGGAATTCTAAGTGGAAGGCAGTGCCTGATCAAAGAACCTAGTGTCATTCGCCAAAGCAACTACAAGCAAGCTATGGCGCGTGCTTTTTCACTCTAGGAAATGCGAATGTATGCACAAGAGTGTTACACATGAGTGGATTGTCTTGAAACAACAGGGCCAACACAACAAGAAACACACACACACACACACACCCACCCACCACATCCACACCCACCCGCACCACCACCACGCACGCACGCACGCACGCACGCACGCACGCACGCACGCACGCACGCACGCACGCACGCACGCACGCACGCACGCACGCACGCACGCACGCACGCACACGCGCACGCACGCACGCACGCACGCACGCACGCACGCACGCACGCACGCACGCCACACACACACACACACCACATCCTGACATGCTCAAACTTAGAAACACGGGGTCCCCAATGCCGATGCTAGCCTAAACCAACCCACCCAAACACAAAGAAAGCTACCCCAATCCTGTCTTACCCCTCCCAATACATTACCCACCTCAATCCTGCCCTATTCTACCCTAAAACTAACCTGAACGGTTACCCTAAACCACTCCCACCCTGAACCCAAGGTTCACCAGGCCTTGTCTCGCAGCTCTTGCCAGGTCATCTCTCCACCGGCATCCAGCAGCGTTGCCTTGGCGTGCGCCTGCCAAATCTGCTCCTGCCAGAGTCGAACCCGGCCGTGCAGCGGTCAGATGGGTGCCGTTTCTTACGCGATCCTCCAAATGGTGGTTTCCTTTTGGGTTCCCTCAAAAGACCACTACAAAATTTAAGGCTGCCCTGCAAGAAAACCCACCGAAGTGGGTGCTGTCCTTTTTCGAGGCCACCCTTTTCGGCGCGATGTGCAGACAAACCAAAGGGAAAACAACCATTTGGAGGTTTTCTATACGCAAAATTTGGAGACAACCCCAGACTTTCAAAAAGCCAGTAGTCTAAGATGTCTGAAACCAAACAACATTCCCCCCCCTCGCCTGTTATTTCTGAACCTTTATTGAGCCCGTTGGCCAGGCAACAAGCAGCGGAAAAGGCAATAAAATTGGCTGCTCTCAAGGAGTATTGGGGGAGCAACCTGTCAACATTTGGTTTGCCCCCTACCCATGGCTCACTCCCTCAGTGGATTGGCAGAAACAGTCCGAACTGGTGGTTTTTCCAGTGGTCTTCACGCAAAGTTTATGTGAAGTCCAGAAACTCTGGCTGTTGACTTCGCGTGCCTCACCGCCGCCCAACACAGGCCCGCGGGTGAAGCGCCGGTAGAGGGGGTCTGTCCCCGCCGGTGCCTTGCCCGGAAAATGTGTCAGGGGTGCCAAGGCACATACCCCTCTTACATAGCCCTTGGACAAATGAACCCCTGAGAGGCCTGATGTTCATACCCCTCTCCCCTTTTTGGGGTATATACCCCTTATAAAGTGGGTTGGAAACCACGGAAGCCAAGGGGTATGAACAAGGAGTATGTACTTCCACCCTTAGAGTCATGTCATGGCAAGCAAACCGGCCTTGGCTATAAACCAGCCAAGTGAACCATGTCAAACTGACACCCAGCCGATATTTCTGTGGCACTCTGCCGTATGCGGCTTTGTTTGCCTTAGTTGCCATCAGTCCTGTGCCCTGCCACCAGTTAGTTCAGCGCTTTTTGGATCTGTATGAATACCCAAGCGCTTAGGAAGATATCCCAAACCAGGCTTCGCCTTTTTCAGAGCCATCAAGTTCGCTCGCCGCTGCCTGAGCTCTGGGCCCACTTGGCTCGAGCTGCCGCGAAGAAGCCTTGGCCTGGCGCCAAAACTCCAAAACTCAAGCGGTACCCGGCTTGCATGTGAATTCCCTGGGCCCTGAGTGCAGTAGGCCCAAAGCCAAAGCTCCGGAGTCTTGGATCGAACTCTCAGTGCGCGGGGTGACTCAACCAATCGATTCAAACTTTGGACATGGAAATTCGCAACCCAAAGCTTCCGACACCTTGGAGACTCGTCCAAAGCCTTTGGGGACCGAGTTGATCAATTGCGGGCTGCGCTCCGAGCCAAGCGCACAGGCCAGCATGACCCCAAGGAGATTGCTGCGGACCCTTGACACGCCCGAGACCGCCGCGAACACCACGTGCCTGGTCACGAATTGCTCTCTGGATATACCCAAAGAGTCATGAGCAAAGTTCACGGCTTGGGCTGCTTGGCCCTCTACACCACCAAGCCTCCTTGCTGCCTTCCAAGCGATCATTCAACGCCACCAGCTCATCTGGTGCCTCGGATGTCATCTGTTCCTGGTCACAACGTATGATCCGCATGAGCGCAAAACGAGTGTGACTTGGACTCTGCGCCCACTCTCACTTCCTCATGTTCCACGATACCTTTTTTGAACCCAACACAGCTTGCCAGCTGCTGGGCAAGGGTTCCGGCTATGGCTGGAACCAGCCTCACTGCCGCTCAACTTGGAACACACAGAGGCGGTTGCGCGCTTCACATTGGATCCCAGGATTTGTCAGGAGACATGTTGACTTTTCGTCTTTGCACATCTACAAATGAACATGGAACCCGCAAAAACGCACCATCTAGAGGAAGCTCCTTTTGGATCCCTGAAAAGGGTTCCTTCCTTCCGATTTCTCGGGGAGTACCATGTTTTGAGTGGATGGTCTCCATCCCTCAGGCCATGACGGCCATGGCCCGACCCGACCTCGAGCCGAAAGCCCTGGATGCGTCTTGTTGGTTTTTTCCGCCGGGGACCCCAGAAAATGGCGCAATGGATATCCTTTTGGTTTCCCTTTACCAACAAACAGGGTTGATTACCCTATTAGGGGCCCACTTCGGCTTTCCTTTTGGTTTTCCTTTGAAACCACAAAACACGGGGCACGCACAAAAAAAGACGAGCCACGCAGATGTGGCTTCTCAATCAATATCTGCAGCGTGCATTCCTGTGAAGTTTAGACCGAAGCGAGCGACGTGCGCATTTTCATTCCATGCACCCGTGTCTTGTGGAATGGACGCCTTTTGACGTCTTCTGCGGTCGCCCCACAGCTCACGTGAAGACATCGGGGAGGTGCTGCATGATCTTAGCCAGGCAACTCAAACCCAGAGACGCGATTTCCTCAAACGGTTGGTAAATTCAGACGTGGTCTGAAAACTAAGCTCACAAAACCTCCCCAGACTTCAAGATGAAATAGCAAGCGCGTGCTTTTCTTCCCTGCCTATTCTGGGACCGAATGTCCAAAGACGCGGGGCTAGTATGTATATACAGATTTTGTTCTGAAGGTGCCCCGAAACCTTGACAACGGCCGAGCGCCCCCAGGGGCAGGGTTTTGGTCCATGTTTCCATTTACCAGGATTCCATTTTGGCTCCACATTTTTGACCCACAGCCAGATAATGAACAACAAACATATCCTCGTGATCAATCCACGCAGCGTCCGCGAAATCAGTCGTGTTCACAAAAGCGAGTCAGGCAAGAGTTGTCAACAGATGCCTTCCAGCCGGGTCATCTACGCCAAAGGAGACCACACAATTTGCATCCTCGAGCGCGTTGCCTTGAAAACAAATGTAAAGCGGTATCATACTTGAAACCAGGCGGGCAAACCACTGTTGGGGAAACACTCTGCAGCTCTCTTCAGGGACATCAAACAATTTGGTCTGCAAACAGGATCCTTCTATTACCCACCTGAACATCAGCCAACTAAAAAAACCTCTGGGTCTGGTGAAGTAGTTGTCATGCTTAGGGCCAACATCAATATCAGCAGACATCTGTGTATGGTTTCAGCCGTCACTACGGCCCAGGCCGAGGCCGGTTTCAGCGGCGTGGGCCTGGCGACGCCCCGGAGGTTCTGGGCAGAGACCTCCAAAATTTCAGGGGAAATGGAGGGAACAAGTTGCTTTTGTGCTAGTGACCTTGTACCTTCCTCCTGAAAAGATTCGTGGCAGAGTTTGCTCCGAGCTCCCCAGAGCGATTCAACCAGCCTCTTTTCTCTTCCGATGCCAAATGAGAATGTGTCGCAACTAAGGGGCAGCTCGTATGTTGCCCTCAACGCACACGTGGTGTTCGCAGTGGCTCAGGGACCCGAGGTCCAAAACGACCATGGAGGGGCCTGCCATATCTCACAACCACGCCAATGTATCAAAGTAGGAATTCGGAGCCCCAAGTTCGGCGGGTTTGGCTTTGGATGTCCGATGGCCGCGCGGCGAAGCGTGGCGCTGGGGCCCCGGCCATGGGAATGTGGCACAGGCATGCCCTGCTCTCGGCAGGGCCTCGGGCCCATCAGCTTCAGGTTTCATTTGTGTTGTTTTTGTTTTTTTCCTAGGGGTTGATTCCAACCATTATTTTCATTTCCAGAAACCGGCTGTTTCCCCTGGGTTTTTCACGGTTTCCTGAAAAGAAGGATCCCTGGAAAGAATGGGGAAGGTACCCCTAGATTTTTGGAAGGTCCCGGCTCTGAGCCCAGAAAGAAGGGTCCCCGAAAGCTGCCTCTGGCCAGGAGGTTGAGGCTCACTGGAGCCAGTTGCTTCCAAAAGGCTTTTTGGGGCGATTCGATCACAAAAACCCGGCATGCTCCAGATGAATTTCGATGTTTGGTAAAGAGGAGCCTCACGCACTGGCTGAAAGGGTCCGGGAAATTGCCCCCGGACCTGGAACTTAGGAAGACCAGGAACCACACTGTGCTGCAATGTACGCAGCGAACCTATCCTCCATTCAAACCGTACGAAGGGCCAGGACGCAACTCAATTTGCCATGTTTGGCGGACAAATCCCCGCATGGGGCTTGGATAAATAGTGGTTCCAGCTGAAGCTTGCAGGAAGTTGACTGTATATCAACCTGCCCTATTTCCAGGTGGGCACTTCATTGGCTCCGATGCCAGTCGAATGATTCAATACAAGACGCGAATTGCAGGTGTCCCTGGCTATGTCTGCTTCTCGAAACTGGCATCATGCTTCTCGAAACTGGCATCACTTGGGGGTCTCCCTTTAAAAGGACACACCGGCCCATGTTAATTCTTCCGCCGTGATGAGAGGTTGCCTTCCTAGGCGTCTGCATGGTGCTGTCAGCATGTCCATCCCCGCTCATTTTGTCCCGGGGTCAAAACTTCGGGCCCTTGTCGATTCTGAGGAACACCAGCATGAAACCAACACAACACATTCATTGCCCTGGTTTCCTCAATCGTCGAGGTCAGTCGCTCCGGTCGCTCCTGTATGCACTTCGAATAGCAGTCGGCTGACTGTCCTTCCTCAGTCCACACGCGCCAGAACCCCCTGGTGCCAAATCAATAGGGGTGTTCTCAAAACAGGCCCAAATGGCATGCTTTCCCTTCGGTCCGCTTCGAAACCACCCAAGGGGACAGTTCACCATCTGAGAAACCCCCCATGATTCTCTGCCACGTTTCCATGGATCCCCCCGACGGGGAACGAATGCGGAGTGTCTTCCCTAAAGTGGTGACCCTTCTTAGTGCAATTTTGAGTAAATCCCCGGTGCCTCCCAAAAAAGCGCGCAGACCCCATGCCTCACAAATCGCCATTTATTTGCACCATAGACCATGGCAGCTTTGGTCGCCCGCTCTGCGCCGGGTTTGCCTCCGGATGGATCGATCCGAGCTCCTGGCACAGGCCTCGACGCAGGGATCGCCCGCGGCGAAACAGGTGGCGCTGGTGGAGCAGCCGGCGCACCTGGCCGAGCTCACCGCCGGCTGAAGGAACCGAAGGGTTGCTCTCGGTTGCCCTTCGGGGTCTCCAAATGGCTGGCGCACGTCTTTAAAAAAAAAAAGTGGGACCCCGCGGGGAAATGGCGCAAGGTGGTGTTTGCTTGTTTTTCCAACCACGGTCGGCTCCCCATTAAAAAAACTCGAACAAAAGGGGTACAAATGACATATCGAGGCGCCAAAGCGTGGGTGTAGAACAGGCGGGCCGAACGTAAAATCCAAAAGGGTTGAGGACATAATGTGCGTTTCCTAGAAATCCTCGCAAGGCTTATTCAACACCTGTCAAAGGAGTTTATGCGAGACAATCTTGTTGGACATGTTTGTGGTGGACCATATGAGTGACAACTCCGGATTGCGGTTGACACAAATGCAATGCTGTCCTTCGTGGATTGGGCTCTTGAGGCGCCGCTTGTTTTAATTCATACAAATCATAGTAGGTCATATTGCCCCCAGCGAACTCCCAAAAGTTGCCCGCTGCCGCAATGTTTGGAGTGGTTCCGTTCGATGCGTATTCTGGTGGTTTCCATTGGTCGCCAACTTGCTTGTGGTTGCCAAGTAGGTGCGCGTGATGCTTGACAAACGAATGTAGAAGACTTGCAGGGCTGCAATCTTGATGTCTCTGAGTTCTCAAGTCTCCGCAAGGCTGCACCTGTAAACACGAGGCAGTGAACAAAGGACTTCCAGGAAGCGGCACTCTGCAGCAAGGATGGCTTGAATGATTACATGGGAGTGTGCCAAAATAGGCGGGTGGTTAAAATGGCGGTTCTCCTTTCGGTTTTCCTACATGCCAAGCTAAAAAGGGGGCACCCTCAAGAAACACAAACTCACATAAATTGTATGATTCGTATGACTGCTTTCAGGCTGCATCTCAGAAGCACAGGAGAACCAAGCTGAATGCTCACATATCCCAAGGATTGCAAGAAGCAATGCCAATTTGACTGGTTGAGTATCCAGCTTCCGGCTATGGAAATGACTCCTTGGGAAGATCCTGAATCGTCTTCTGCATGTAACATTGTGGTGCTGGGATAGCGTTCAACTCAAATGGAAACCACTCACTCACACACACACACATTCACCAAACACGGAACACGCGTGAAGCGCGTCTTCGAAAGATCCCGCGGCTGAACTCTTGGGCTGGCGCATGAGTTTCTGGCAGCTCTTGGTCCACATCTCCCCAGCCTGGCGAGCGGACAAGCGGAATGCCCATGCCCGCCCCCGGCCAAACCCATTTGCTCTAATCCTCAAGGCCACCGGTACCACTATCACTTGTTGCCCACGGAAACAAAAAGGGAAGCCAGATCAACTTGTCAAGGCCATTTGGAGAGTGCCACTTCAGTTTCAGTGAATGCTTCTCAAGCAAATGTGCAGATCCAAAGAATCGGGGCGCCTCTGAATGCTTTCAGAAGTTGGCCGTGAACATAAAACAAAATGTCCAACTACTCCGCATTCTCACATGAACCTCCGGTACCAGCTTCACCATTTGGTTATCTCGTTCTAGAAGGGGGCCCGCAAATTGGTTTCGGCTTCTGTTGGTTCCCTTTCAAAAGATCCTACAAAAGGGGTACCACTATGCTTGGTGGAAATCCCTTTTCGGTGTATCAAGGGAAGCCAAGGGGAAAACCACCATTTCATTCTGGCCCATGGCTGCAACCTCCGGAAATCGGCTCCGGCGGTTCCCAGGCCTTATGACCCCAGTCTTCCTTCAGCCAATTGCTCAAGGCGGAACCGCCAATGGAGCAGCGAGTGCGCTGGCACTGCGTGCACCTGAGACTCGCTATGCTGCACGAAATCCATGTCGCACCAGGTAGATGGTTTATCAACCATTCACGGGGCTTCGTCCGTCCCAGCTGGTGTGAAGTGGATTTGTTCATCCACAGCGGCCCACCACAGAGGCTCAAAGCAAAAGATCAAACTGTTTGGCCACAACAATGGTCCTCCCTAAAGAGGAACTAGAGAGCATGAATTCAGGAAGTAAGGTGGGTAAACGAATCCATGCTTCAAAATGACATACGGGT